AACTACATGTGATTGTGACAAACAATTCTGAAGGTTTGAAATGTTGGACGGTCTCCATTGAGTCTTAATATCGTCGGTGTATGTTTCGTGGGCCACCGACAAATGTTTCGAGCAATATGATTCGTTGTCCAACATCTTGTGCGTTGTCAGATTGCATCATACGGTCATGCAGATTACAATAGAGGTCTGCTTGAATTTCTGTTTTTTATTTTTGCAAACGTCATACGCACGTATTCTTGAAAAAGTTGTGAAGCATGAAAAATTGTCATTCGTTCTGTGTCACGTGTGTTTAGATGAAATGCATAAAACTCGTGTGTCGTAATGTTGTCATGGTTATCTTCTTGACTATCATGAGTTTCAACTAACCATCTATCTTCACCGGATGAAAAAAATAAGACTGAAGTGGGTCAAAGACACAATTAGTTCCATGATCGCCACCACGTTTATGAATAACTACATCACGGTTTGTGGGTTCATCGTGCAAGAGTAAACAAAGCTCGAGCAAATCTTTCAGTTTGTTATATCTTGCATCATGTTCATCAAGGGACCGTGGATCGGGGTTTATAGCAATCCGTTGTTCTTGTATTATATGTTCAGACAATTATGAAATTGTGAGGAAATCGTGAAGTTTTTGCAACAAATATTTGATCACGTATACAGTAGCAAGAGACATGTCTTCAGCTAAATCAAATCGATGCAGCCAAAGTCATGTTGTTTATGTTCATATTGAGGGTCATATAATGTACATTTGTGCAAATACCAGTCGATTGTTTGGTTCATAAATGAGAGGTCCCAAACTGTAATGCAAGCAACCCTCGATGCGAAACATATCGGGCCAACCGTCACGATAAAATTCTGATTCTGTATTGATCTGTGAAGCAAATGCAAGTACATTATTGAATTGGTGTGAATGCATTCGTAGCAATCTACCTCGTCTGCTATCACTTTCCCAGAGATGAAGCATCTCATTTGCAAAGTTTCCAAGAGTTCATATTGCCATAAGGGAGGTTAGATTCTTCCTTGGAAGCAACACATGGACGACCAGTTGTGCTCATGGTGCCATACGTGTGTACCTCAATGTATCTATGCAGCTCGACTTCCAAGAATGATAATCTCAACCAAACGGTGATGTAGAATCAGTGTAGTTGTGTAAGTGCGTACATTGTTGATCCACGGTTGAATGTCTTCAACATGCACATGTCGGTAATGCTCTTGCCATTCTCTATGTGCAATCCTTACCCATCAATGAACTGTTGTGGAAATTTGGGTCAAGGCAAACAAAAAAACATGAGAAAACAAAAACAAAAGGAATGACTGTCGTCAAGATTTGAAACAACATTATTATTTGAAATTCAAATGAAAATGAGAAATATAAACAAACGATTCAAAAAAAAAAAAAAAAAAAAAATTACAGGATAAAACTTCACAAAAGTGAAAAAAAATCCTATCATTATTTTGATTTTTGCGGAAAAAAACAATAATGAAAGATAAGTAAATTTTGGGATAGAAGACAATAAGAAATGAAAATATGTATATACATATAATGGTTGTCAACTGATCCGAACTGTCTGGATATAGATATCAGGATATCCGGTTCTATGTTCGGTTAATGGGACATCGGGTTCGATCTAGACACGGGTCTAGTGTTGGTGTATAAATCATAAATGTATATATGCTTGACATCGATTCTCTCATACGGACGATCCGGATTCAGATGGCCAAATGTCCGGTTGTATGTTCGGTTAACGGGATGTTCGGTTTGATCTAGGCAAGGGTCCTGTGTTGGTCCAATCTCTCTCTCTTCCCCCTCCCTCGTCATGCCACCTTCCCCAACTATGAGGCCACCCCCTGCTCCTTCCCGCACGCATATACGGAAAAAAAACAAAGAAAAAAACTTGGTTCGTCGTCTTCCTCTTTCCCTTATGCACATGTATGTCCTCCTACTTGCTACCCCCTGCTCTGCCCGAATGTCCTACACACACATATACACAAAGAAAGAAAGAAACACGGTTCGTCATCCTCCTGCTTCCCCTCCTCCTCCCACTAAGCATCCCGCCTATCCTGCTTCTAATCCTTTTATTCTTCTTTTACTCTCTCTCTCTTTCTCTCTCTCTCTCTCTCTCTCTCTCTCTCTCTCTCTCTCTCTCTCTCTCTCTCTTTGTGGAGTGGAAAAGAAGTTTCATTCTTTTTCCTCCTCCAACCTCACCGTCCCCTCTTTCCTTTGTTCCTACTCCTAAGGTATAATGGTTAGGAAAGTGAGTTTGACATACACAGAGTGAAGCACACAGAGGTGTGAAGCACACGGTGACGTAAGCACTCTGTCAAAGCATGACACGTAGACATAGTATAAGTAACCAGGGTTTCCATTTCACGTTCCGACAACCCCAAGAACCACCGTTCGTGTCGCTAGCCATCATCGGTTCTTTTCAATGTCAGGTTCTTGGGATAGCAATGTTGAGTGCGTCAAAAATCCAGAGTCTCGGTTTTTCCTGTCTGCTGGAAATAACCAGCAACGAATCATCGATCATTCGTATTGCGCCAAAGCATCTGTTAGCACTGCCCACATATCTTTTGGTATTCGGAATATGGGAACATGATGCACGCAATCGGTGGGCTCATCCTTTTGTCCATTGGTACACAAACTTCCTGCTTCAACAGTACTCCGGTAGCAAAACAGTAAGTGTGTTCTACTTCCATACGGACAAACTTTCGAACATCCAACAAGTTCAGACGTTTTCAGTGATCAGCCCTAGTAGTGGCCCCAAAGGATGAACCATTGCCTCTGGTATTGACTCGTACAAAGGCAAATCCCTTACCATTAAAATGGTCAATGATCCAGTCGATGGAGTTCAGCAAAACCAAATGAGGTAACTTGCTAAACATTTCCTTGACGTCAAAAGAATAAGGACTCATGACGCGATCACCTTCCAGTCTACCCAACTTCCGGTTCAGGGAACCCAATCGTTTCGTGAGTTCCGAAACGGAACGCAGGTTAAAGTGCCACTTACTTGGCAAGTTATACAGCAGGTGTTCAATGCCCGACTCATCGGACAAGCGGTGCGAACCATTGGTTCTTTAAAAGAAGGACAAATTGGTGAAAAGCGGCTCAGATCCTTATGTGTCGGAATGACATAGGCTGAACCAAAAGTACCCTGATCGTCCCAGTGTACAACTTTGTTCAACCCAAAGCGTCGCACATCCTCCCTCGGTTCACGCAGTGCTTGCCTTTCTCGATAATTCACGATCCGATAACGAGGGTTACAAATAAAAGTTAGCATCATAGCTTCATAGTAGATGCCAGCACACATAGCTACGGATTCTCCTGAGTTCCTATCCACAGGGGTAACCACCAGCCCCTTCAATTGTACTTTCAAAGCAAGTACGTCATCCATAGTCACACAGGGAGAACACGTATCTCCACTGGAAATACAGGCAGACAAATCACTTGTCGAGCAGACAAGATGATAGGAGACTGCATTTTTCCATCCTCTGAATCCAGCACACAACTCCTTACGGAGAAGTTGCACTCTATCAGCGACCCCGACTTTTGGAATATTGTTAGAGTTCGTCAAAAGTGGGTGCACATCGGCTACCTCGCTTAGACGAAATAAAACGTGTTCATTCACATGCGGAAAAACCATATCTGTGCAATAACAGGTAAGCACACCTTGAGTAGAAGTTACTCGATGGTTGTGCAGAGTATCAACCATCGTGGGATTTTTAGTGCTCACGATGGGAATCTTTCGGCGTGCACGTTGCAAAAAACAAAGGGGTAACTGACAGTTCATCAGCATATCGTTAACTAGTTTCCTTACTTTGGAAATAACGAACCGGTCATCATATTTCATATGAAACGTCAGGTCACTGGCCAGGCTCAAACTGAATCAATCCAAAAAGTAACGAGAAATTAATCTCCGCAAATATTTTCTCGTGGACTTCCTTGAAAAATCCTTAATCACACGGTGGATCCTTAATACTGCTCTCATCCCCCAGTTGTACAGATCGTATAAGTTGTTCGGGTTACGTAAAATCCCAATCAGCACTTGTTTCAAAAATTTGCACTTAGCCTTCCATTTCACAACGTGGATGATCTCAAAATCTCCACGCTGTTCACACAAACTTCTACAGTCTTTCAAAGGTCGGCAGTGAGAGGCAAACTTTAACTTCGACTCACCAAACATACGCGAAAGTTTTTCCAATTCGGGGACCAGTCCCTTCCACCCAAGATCGAACCGCACGAGGAATATTCGAACCCAAGGTGTCCTCCAGAAAAAAATAGAGACCAATGAAGTCAATATCCTCCTTAACAAAGTGAAAACGCACCGGGTTAATTCTACCCTTGGGAACAACAATTTGCCTCCCTTTTCTTCGACATCTCTCCCTTCGTCCGGGCTATTTCTTACCCGACTTCTTCTTTGCCGTCCCGACCGTGTTAAGAAACGGAGACCACCTACTTATGTACAAACCCTCAAGAAGACTCAAGTCTTTACCTTCAAGAGTATCAATTGGGAGCAAAACATAATTACGGACACCAAAAAATGAGATCCATTGGTGAAAGTGGGATTGCGTGCGTCTACGTACAGCGTATAAATGTTTGCACCATCTGACGTCACACGTACGTGAGGTCTTACCTACGTAACACAACTTGCAGTAGGGGGACACCGCTACATATACAACACTTGTAAGTCGAAGAAATTCAATCTCGTGAATAGAGTACAGATTCAGCCAGGACTCCTCATATTTGTCCAACCATCTAACTGCATTCGTCAGCATCAATAGTAATACAACAAGCCGTAGCAGAAATTCTACTCTTTCGTCCATACATAATTGAGAGCAACATAGGCTAGTGAGATACCTGCAGAGACTCAACCAAGCAGAAGAGGGAATAGCACATCACTCGTGGGTATTAGCGGAGTCACTGGCACCCGCATCCTTCGAATCAGCGATACGGATCACCTGGTAGGAGGAATGACGAGGTAGTGTTGTGCGTGATGTTCCGCCAAGTCAAAATTCGCGTCAACTTTCACCATGCCTTCATCCTTGCAGAAGCGCTACAGCTCATCAGCATTACAGTCCTTCAGCTCGCACATAATTGCGTCACGATAACGCAAGCGTGCGAGCGTACGACTCGTCGGGGTCAATCTGCCGCTAGGTGGTGACTTCTTCAGAGGGGACATTGTCATCTTCGATAGCGGAGTTTTCACCGGGGTCTTCTTCTTTGCTGGTGTCGGAGTACGTGCTCTCTTCTGACGAGCTCGGGTCATCGGTAAGTTCGCCTTGTATGACTTCACAGCCCCACGTTGTGGGGTACGCTTTGGCGGAAGCTCCATTGGAGGGTTGTTCTCCAAAACCACATCCTCCGCGCGTTTTCGTTTCTCGGTTAAACAGAGTCCGCTGGTCTTTATGCTCAATTCTTGCGTCACGCGTGTGTCGCTACCGTCGTCACTACCATCTGAGTGATAGTCGCTCTCCGAAGCGTAAACGACCTTCTCCTTGCCTTTCGAATCGTTCCGTCCACCCGTCAACGTCGGCAGTACTTCAGACTTCCACTTGTTAATCCAATCATCTTTGATCCCCTTCATCATCATAGCCGCATGCAGCATCACATCCTTCTTCATTTCCGCACGTAGTGTGGCTTCCTGCCTTGCTTTCTCCGCTTTCTTGTGCTTCTTCTCAGCTCGTCGTAATTCTTTCTGCATTCTTCTCTCGTCTTCTTCTTCTTGTCTGCGACGCTCTTCCTCCATTTCTTTCTCCCGTTTCAGCTTGCGTCTAACCCTGTCTCTTATACACATCTAGATGTGTATAAGAGACAGTCCGCACGTAGTGTGGCTTCCTGCCTTGCTTTCTCCGCTTTCTTGTGCTTCTTCTCAGCTCGTCGTAATTCTTTCTGCATTCTTCTCTCGTCTTCTTCTTCTTGTCTGCGACGCTCTTCCTCCATTTCTTTCTCCCGTTTCAGCTTGCGTCTAACCTTCTCCCGTAGTTCAAGGTCCTTCAGCGGCGAGCAGGCTCTTCGATGCTCGTATCACCTCGGCGAATGTAAACGGCGTGTATCCGATGATGTGGATGGTCGACTAGCATGTCGGCGATCCCGGTGTGGGCACTAGTTAGCGTAGTGCCCCACCTCGACGCAGTTATAGCAAACCACCGGTTTACGATACGGCTGCCTGTCTTTGTCGTCCCGTCGTTCGAAGTCACGATCGCCATCGTCTCGTCGGTTCGCACTTCGCTCTCGACCCTCGCGCCTGTCGGAGCTCGACATCTTCCGGGTTCTTCCTTGTTTCGTAACTTAAGTCCTTGTGCTTGATTACTTACACCGTTTCTCCAAAACAAAGGCACAATGACAACATACGTCTGCTTTCCGCAACCCGTGTTCGTTTTCAAGGTAGAACTTCCACGAAGGTAACACCACGTCGAGTAACGTAATAATAACGTAATAGAGTCATGGAACAATACGCTCACTTTATCCTGGTAGGCTTCCCCAGATAAGTTCACGTATGCGATAGTAAGGTATAATGGTTAGGAAAGTGAGTTTGACATACACAAAGTGAAGCACACGGTGACGTAAGCACACTGTCAAAGTATGATACGTAGACATAGTACAAGTAACCAGGGTTTCCACTTCACGTTCCGACAACCGCAAGAACCACCGTTCGTGCCGCTCATCTCCCCGTCGTGACGGTCAGCCCGTCACTGCAGGAACCCAAGAGGTCAAACTAGACAATCTCTACGTATTTATGGAAAGGACACAGCAAAACTCTCGGTCAGGCTCCCTCGAGACGCGGGAGGGTCCAACCTATTACCGAAAAAACAATCATGCATCAAAATAAAGTCTCAACCGGGTCAGAAATCCGGTAGACTACAGATCCAAGCATCCTCGTGACGTCTAGGTACTTGAAAAATCGAAAAAGTGAATGTTGTAACTCTACACAGACCCCCGGGAGGCTCGAAGACTTCAGAGTTGACTACCATCATATACGAGGTTAATCAGTTCGAAACCCAAACTCAAAATAACGACAGAGATCAAAAGTTAATCTACAGCAAACCAAACCAAACAGATCAAGGTCAATTGACCCAATCCTCAGGACCCTGTCGAAATACAAAGACAATTAACTGCCAATTAAAAAAAACCTGCATTATTGAGAAAACTTAACTGAACAATTTAAGATATGAAACAGTTTAATTATCTCTCATTTCTCAAAATTGCCCGATTCAGCAAGTGCGCGCGGACTATTCTTGCAGCAAAAAAAAAGGGGAACAAAATGCAAAGTTTGCAAACTATCTCTTTCATTTTTTTTGGGGGGGGGTGAAAGAGCACCCAAAAAACGTGAGGTTAAGATAAATGTAAACGCAGATACATAAAAAAAATAAAATGCATGGCCAGTGGACCCAACTAATTACCCAACGAACGGTTAAAATCCAACGATGATCATGATGAACATGCACAACAACATCCACAACAAACTAAAGATTTATTTTTTTCACAGCAAACTGTACTATCCAACACTCAGTGGTCAGTTGATCCTCATTGGCTATTAGTTATACTCTTTTAGATAACAACAGGTAGTCAATTGTGATTGCGTATAATTGTTTATAGCCTTTTAAATGGCAGCAAGTTAATTGTCCTTCCTCGTATATTGGTCGGGCTATTGGCTATACTATGTCTCATAGCAGTCAGTCGATTGTTGTTGCCTGTACTTCCACCCACAGTCGTATACATGGCGCAAAATGAAACACACGACTTATTTAACCCTAGGGGGTACTGGGGTAGCGTGCAAATTTCTACCCCAACTTTTGTAATTTTGAATTCGCATTTCCCTCAACAACAAAATCCCAAAAGGGTCTCTCTCTCTCTCTCTCTCTCTCTCTCTCTCTCTCTCTCTCTCTCTCTCTCTCTCTCTCTCTCTCTCTCTCATCCTCCTTTTCTCCTCCGTGCTCTTATCTGCACCTCTCTTTCTCCGCTCGTTACTCCTAACTGCACAAAGAGAGAGACAAAGAGAGAGAGAGAGACAAAGAAAGAGAGTCAGAAAAAAGAAAAAAAAAATTCAAAAGATTTGAGGTCGCGACACAGCTTTACCCCCCCCCCAATCTCATGTCGGGTTTCACATACAGGAGAAACAACATAATAATCTTTCTTCCCCCCCCCTTGTTATACCACCTTTCCCAACCATGAGGCCACCCTCTGCTCCACCCGCATGTCCCACATACACATATACATGAAAAAAAAAAAAAAAAAAACATGGTCCGTCGTCTTCCACCTTCCCCTTTGCACCCGCATGTCCTCCTACCTGGTACCCCCTGCTCTGCCCGAATGTTGTACACACACACATACACAGAGAAAGAAAGAAACACGTTTCATCCTCCTCCTCTTTCCCCTTCTCCCACTAAGTACCCCGCCCATCCTGCTCCCACTCCTCCTCCTCTCAATCTTCTTCTACCCTTCCTTCTCCTGTGTGCGCCAGAAACCTCTCTCTCTCTCTCTCTCTCTCTCTCTCTCTCTCTCTCTCTCTCTCTCTCTCTCTCTCTCTCCTACCTGGTACCCCCTGCTCTGCCCGAATGTTGTACACACACACATACACAAAGAAAGAAAGAAACACGGTTCATCCTCCTCCTCTTTCCCTTTCTCCCACTAAGTATCCCGCCCATCTTGCTCCCACTCCTCCTCCTCTCAATCTTCTTCTACCCTTCCTTCTCCTGTGTGCGCCAGAAACCTCTCTCTCTCTCTCTCTCTCTCTCTCTCTCTCTCTCTCTCTCTCTCTCTCTCTCTCTCTCTCTCTCCCACACACACACACATACACACCGTTGTCATTTGAATCCTCCCGCTGTTTATCATTGGTTTTCTTTGTTTTTCGTTACTTTTAGTTTTCCCGATCCGTGGGTGCTACCGACAGTTCTATGAACGATCGCACTGGGTTAACAGGCGCGTATATGTTTTCCAAGCAGAAAAATGTACTTGTGGTTTGAACCGTCAAGAGTGCACATAAGAATGGATTTCTGACACCGCGTGAAAGTCGTTTTCCAGAGTGGGTTTAGAAAGTTAGTGCAGCCATCCATTTTTTAGAGTGAATTTGCCGACTCTTGAAACTTTTTTTTTTTTTGGGGGGGGAACTGTGTGGGAGTTACAAAAATGAGTTATAAATTGCACTATGGGTCAGGATACAGTTTCGGGTTGCAGTTCGGGCAATGTATACAACCCAGCTTTTTGGCCAGGTAGGGTGCCCGAAGTGCAAACGCAAACTATATCTTCCCCCATAGTGCAGTTATAACTCGTTTTTTTGACTCTACTGAAGTTACCCTTAGAACGTTGGAAACCTTTTCCAAGGTGCAGCCTTAGGAGTTTGTGCAGCGATGGCGCACTCGAAAACCATGATGCACCCTTGAATCTTCGAGATTAAATCTTCAAGATGTAGTGCAGCGAGGCCCATTGTCATAGAGCCGTGGTTATCAGATAGACTGATCATGACCAAATTGAGTTCGTCTTCTAGTTCTGAACAACCTGAGTGTGTCTCTCGTTCTGAGCAACCTGAGTGTGTCTCTCGTTCTGAGCAACCTGAGTGTGTCTCTGTTTCTGAGCACCTGAGTGTCTCTCTTTCTGAGCAACCTGAGAGCGTCTGGAACCCCCCACCGACGTGTACGCCACAGCAAGTGACAACCTCTGGTCAACATCCACTGCGCCGGGTGAGCATCTCACTACCAGGCCACGTCCGCCACGTTGGTTTTTTCAGGGTAGATAAATGACCCGATCACATGATTACCGGATGGTCGGAAACTGATGTGAGCCGATCTCAAACCCACTATCGGAACTCAGGCGTGCATGCGTAGGTCTATGCTCTCAGAATGTGCAAAACGAGAGTGAAGCTCTCGCTAGAACATGGAAAGGTACACCGCCATGATTTTTGTCTTTTGTGCATGTCGAGAGTGGTGGAGCGAGGCCCTATCGGGTTGGCGATAGCGTTGGGGACACTACATAAAAGTAGGAAGTTCGCACTGCGGTAGTGGCTAAGGCGCTGATCCGACATTGCATAAAAAGAGAAAAAACACGAAAGTCCCTAAAAAGAAGGCAACGGGTCAGATGGGGCGGAAAAGCAAATTGGGACCCCACAGAGGTGGGTTCCGTGGGTCCTTCCCAACTACCTCGGCGGGTTTGTTTGGGCTTGTATGGAGATGTTCATGTGGTCCGATGTATGGCCTGGCTTCCCAATGTGGGTGACACAGACGTACCTGTTGAGGAAGGGTGGACAACTTTCTCGGTAGGGGTAGGGTCTTTGAGCTTTCCATTTTTTGTAGTATTCATCACTGGCTACGTGCCACGTATACATGAAAACGTACCCCTAACAAAGCGCCTCGCCCAGTGATCTTGGTAAGTGATGGGGTCCAACTTTTTCACCAAAATTACTTAACTTAGCCATTGTCGGATCAAAAGCTAATGACCTCGCCATAGCACTCTCGAAAAGAAATTAGTCGTTAAAGCGGATGTATAAGGCCGCCTTCTGCCAGACGATGCACTTTTTTTTATTTGAACCATTTCGCGAGCGGTGTGACAAGGCGTAGTTGGCGCTAAGCGCTCCGTTAGAAAACCGGGTTTGGCAGAACCCAAGCTGCCCTTCAAGACGATACCATCGTTGATATCGCCTTGGAACCCTCCCACCATACGCCCACCTTGAAGGGTGGATATGGTGACAAGCTAGCCATAGGTGCGGAGTGGACAGAGAGAATGCCACCGCATGATAGGGACCTGTTTATGTTCGGAGTTCGTGGAGAAGTGCAACCGAGAAGTAGAGTGTATAGGCTATCAAA